TTTTTACTCAAAGGGGGAAAATATCTGCAAAAGGTTGGGATAAACTTAATTTAAGAGAGCAAAATCTTTTGTATCAAGGGACCAACAAGCTGTGGTGGTATAGTGGGTGAGACATTTGGCTGCTAACCAGAAAGTTAGCCATTCAAACCCACCAACTGCTCCATGGCAGAAAGATGAGGCAATCTACTTCTGTAAAGATTTACAGCCTTGGAAACCCAATGAGGGTCTCTATGAGTTGGAATTGACTCCATGCAGTGGGTTTTTTTTTTTTTTAATCAAGGGAGCACACAGTGTTTTGTTCTGTTATTATTGGTTACATGTTACCTTATTATACTTAAGGTTGCCATGAGCTTGAGCCAGCTGGATGGGAACTAACAACAAAAAGGAGAGGAATGCAAGATTGACAGGTGAGTGGCTGGGATGGAGAGACATGAGAACACTATCTTCCCAAAGAGAAAGAAATCATTCTGGGGAACTCGTGCTTTGATATTCCCCCATTTGATTTCATCTCTTCCAGCTGTCATAAAGGGACATGAGCAAGAGGAGCTTTAAACTGTGTAGAAAAAAGTTATTCATAAGCCCAAGACCTACAAGACTGAGGAGCAGTGCACAGGCCCCAAGAAAGAGCCAGGGAAGCCTCCCCCTGATGAAAGTTTACACAGCAAATTAGGTTCCCATTTAACAATGTGTATGCACATTCATATTGCTCAGGAACATTGGTTACGTTTTTCACAACGTATCAACATTCTCTTTCTGTTCTGACTATTGTGTTTTCATTAGTCTAGCTTCTGTGCTTCCTCTTACCTTCTTACCTTTGCTTTATGGTAAATATTGACCATTTGTTCTTATGTAAATGATTATATAAAGGAGCACAGTACTCATGGGTGATATTGTTTGTTTTATGAACCAATCTATTATTGGCTGGGGGGTGACCTCCAAGAGTGGGTTCATTTCCAAGTTTAAGGCATATCTCAGGGTGACAGTCTTGGGGGATCCTCTAGTCTCTACCAGTCTAATAAGTCTGGCCTCTTAGGAATTTGAAGTCTGTTCTACGTTTCTCTCCCATTCTATCTAAGATCATCTATTGTGTCCCTGGTCAGAATATTTACATTTTTGCTTTTTGATTGTGGTAAATATATAGGTAACAAAGCATTTGCCATTTCTACAATCTTTCCATGTACAGTTCAGTGGTATTAATTACATTCATCATGTTATTCAACCACCTTTTCCCTTTGCAAGTTTTAAACTTTGGAAAAAAGTGACCAAGCAGGCCTCCAGAGAACTATAAACCAGAAGCCAGTCTCAGCAAGGGACAGAACTTGGCAGAACTTTCTGAGGGAAGAGTGTCCTCCAGAAAGTGGACTCAGTGAAGGTTGCCTGGCAATAATAATAAAAAATGATGAAGTATTACAGATAATAATGACACTTTCCCCACCCTTGAGACATCAGCCCAATGCTTTCTTAGGCAGAGGGCCTGTGAGATGAATGATAGGTATAAATGGGGTATGGAGCCTCACCTTCAGGATGGGAGCCAGGAAGACGGAGATTCCTGTCAGGATAAAGACGATGATGCCGGTCACTCTCTGTTCCCTGGCAGAGAAAAGCACAAGGCCGGAGTGAACTGGGAGATGCTCAGTGACCATTCTAGTTCCTCCTGCCCCTCTGTGGGCCTCTGAAGGTTGAATCCAAGGTCTGGGCCTCAGGGGCTTCTGCACTGGGGTCTGCCTGGTTGCCCGACTCCAGGAGTATACCCCTGCCTGAGGGCAGGCCCAGCTGACCCGGACTTGGGAGGAGAGGGAACTGACCCAGATGAGGGCATTTTGTGGTCCTGTTGTAGGGCCATTCTCAAGAGGCTGTTTACTGTTGTAGCTAATAGCTGAGGTGCCAGACGGGACCTGGGTTGAATCCTGACTCTTCCACTTACTAGTTGTGTGGCCACAGTCAAGCCCTTAACCACCTGGAGCCCACTAGATTGGAGATAATGATGGCCTATCCTCATGGGCTTGTTATTGAGGATTAAATGTAATGTAAAGTGCTTATTATCTCTGTCCTTTGATAATAATAAGTTCTGCACTTTTGTGGGGTATGATGAATGAGGACTCAGGACAGGCAGATGTGGGGTGGAGAAGGAGGCCTGATTGGCTGACAGGACAAGCATTCAGGGACCAGGGGACAGGTATATGTTTTTCCTTTGGAGCTCAGAGCTCTGGGGTTGAATGCTCAGCCCTACTTGAAGCTCAAGGGTCTGAGAGGGGACACCGCCCTGGCCAGTCCTGAGCACTGTGGCCTGGCAGAGGAGCCTTACTCAGGCTGGGGTCCAGGTAGCTGAGGCCCTGGGAAGAAGCTCTTACAATAGCCACTTATGAGTGTCTGGTGTGTGCTTGTGGAGGCCCTACGAGGCAGAAGACAAACTTCTAACAGGTCAGGGACAAGACATGGGGCATAAGAGAAGCCAAGAGAAGGAACAGGAGTGGACCCCTCTGCTCCTGGGAAAGCTATCCCAGAGGAATGGAGATTGAGCAGGACCTGAACCCAAAGGAGGGCTCTGGGGGATTGTGGGGGTGAGGGTGTGAGGGTCTTGAGGAGGAGACAAAAGGACAGGTTACAGGTGCTCATATGTGTGCATGGGTGTGGGGAATATCTGCCTGGAATCTACTAAGAAGAAAGTGCCACTTAGAATTCCCTCAGGAAGATCACTCCTATCCAGGTGGTTCCTGGGCTGGACAGGGACCCTTTTTGCCCAAACACTTTGATGGAAAGCACAGCTGGTTTCCCCTCCCCCAACTTGACCACTCTCCATAATCCCCAGTCCCTCCTACCTCACCCCCAGGAACTGAGGCTGCTCCCCAGGGGCGCTGGTCTCTGTCTCCATCTTGAGGCTGTCGATGTGGGCGATGGAGATGACTGTGGCAGCCACGTACCAGGGGAGCCCCATGAAGGAGCACAGGGCCATGAGGATGCCCACCCAGAACAGGTCCAGATGGTAGCCGGCGGCCTTCTGCAGGGGGTGGCGCAAGGGGAGAAGCTGTCTAGGGAGCCTGTTCCTGACCATCAAGGGTGGAAGGGGTGAGGGACAGCAATCTCCAAGGAAGCCATTTTGTTGAACAGGTTTACAAGCTCCTTGTGGCCTTCTAGAGGGTACTCTGAGGAGCCTGAAATCCTGAGATGCTCTCTAGTGAGAAGTAAAGGGATGCACAGCCTTGCCAACCCCAGAAGTAGCTTCAGTTGCTACTTTGTCTGAAAGGATGAGAGAGGGAAGAGACACAGATGAGGGAGGAGAGGGATATTCAGGCTTGAAGAGACCCTGGATTTGGATTCTGGGGAGAAGAGCTCTCACCCAGTGGCCAGGTATTTCTGCAATTGCTGAATGAGGGACCTCAGCTGAACGAGCCTTAGACTCAGCCTACAGCAGGAGGGGGCTGGGGTCTGGACTGGGGCAGGGGAGGGAGTGACTTGAATCTTCTCAGACTCAGAGGCAGGGAGGGAGTTTGGGGGACCAGGAGGTCCAAGGATGTTCCTCTGTTCACTGTTCCGGTCAAAATCCCCCTGTCAGGATCTGCTCAGACTCCCAAGTTCACTGGAAGGAGGCACACAGGTGGAGGTGCAGAGGGTCATTATGGGAGAGGAAAGAGAGCTCTGTCTAGGTCCCCATCCTTGGCTCCTGTGGACCTCCCTGTCCTCAGGTCAAGTTGCCCTGACCTCATTGTCATTACCTGTATCTGAGGTCATATTTCCCCCAAGACACAGCAAGTGGGAACTCCAGTCTTCTGGTCTCATATTTTCCTTCACAAATGACCCCACATATTGAAACAAGCACCATCTCCCTCCTTCATTATTCTGACTTTGTGGGAAGAAAGAGGTTGCACCTCTGTCCTGAACACCAGCCTTACCCTCAGCTTGTTCTCCTTCCGGTTGACAATGACGGCCGTGATCTGCTGGTCCATGAAGATCAAGATGGTCACCAGCAGCGCAGGCAGGATACTAGCTGGGTACACCCACCACGGGTTCTTCCCAAAGGGGGCCACAAACCAGCCTCGGTCAGGCCGCGTGGGCTGAGCAGGAGCAAAGGAGAGAGGCCTGTCCTCTCCCCAACATCCCGTCAACTTCCCAGCCCAGGCCCACTCTCCTTGCCCTTCTTTCTCCCACCTGGTGTATTTCTCAACTGCAATCTTTTCCCTTAAAGAAATTAGGGACATGCAACTTGAGAGTAATGACACCAAGGAAGCAGGCAAACCTGGGATGGAGCATGAACACAGAAGGTGTTTGTAGAGCTAAAGAAATAGCTTGCTGCAGTGGCCCTGGGGTTAGTTGGAAAATGGGGAGGTGCAGAGTCAGTGTGGTGGGAGGGAGCATGCAGTCACTGATGGCAAAATAGCAAAATAGCAAAAAGCAGAAATGAGGCCTAACAATGAGGCCTAGCAAGGAAAACGAACTTTGATAGGCCTAGTTCCTGACCCTTCTGCCTCCCCTCTGAGTCACCTGTCTGTGGAGCATTACGGAACTGTCAGTAACATACCAAAGACTTTCATCAAATCAAACCTTGTATATTGAGAATAAGGGATATCTGTGCTGGAGCTGGGCTGAAGTTTATCTTTTATTTACAAGAAAAGGATACTTCAATTTTAAGGGTCTCTATGAGTTACATGAATTGTGTGAGACTTGCTTAGGAGAAGCCTGAAATAATATCTCCAAGGTCAAGACCACAAAGAACCTAGTTCTAGAACCTGGATCCCTACCCTAGTTTGCATGGTTAGTGCACCTTATGAAGGGGCAGGGCTTGAGCTTGGCAGCAAGCAAATGGCGCCAACCCTAGACTAATGGGTAATTTCCAAGGCAGTGGTTCTTAAACTTGAGCATGACCCCGAATCCCCTGCAGGGCTTGTTGAAATGAAGATTGTGGGCCAAACTCTCAGAGTTTCTGATTGCTTAGGTCTAGGTGGGGCCAATAATTTGCATATCTAAGAAATTCTCAGGTGATAAAGTGATACTAGTCTGGGAACCACACTTTGAGAACCACTGTCCTAAGGGATCAACAGATCCCAGTTGGCCCAGCCTTTAGACTGTTACTAGTCAGGCAATTGGAGACCTCCAACTGGAAATCAAAAGGCTTAAGCAGCACAGGAGGTGGATTCCAACAACTTCTTTTAGCTTCACAATAGGATTTCATCGTGAATGTGTCTGCACTCCACCATCTCAAGGTTTTAGGAAGTTCCTCACTGGAAGATGACACCACTGTGGATCTTCAAGGACTACTACTCCCAGGAAGGGCTATGAGGAGGAAGGTGTGGAGCACATACAGAGGACCACCAAGGCCTCTTGGCTGAGAGGAGAAGGAGGTTTGACCAGTGTCAGGGAAGGGACCTGCAGCTGGTGGGCAGGCAGGAGATAGTGCCCAGTGTTGGGGCAAGGCGCAAACCTTGATGACACTGGGCACGTGCAGCTTGGGGGTTTCCAGGCCGAAACAGGCATCTATTCCACAGAACAGCAGGATGGAGAAAATAATGGAAAAGTCGGCAACTAGGGCCCGGACCTGCAGAAAGGAGATAAGTAAGTGAGCAAAGCATCTGCTCAGCTCATGGCAGACTCAGTCCTAAGGCAGAGAGAGGAGCATGGTTAAGAGCTTGGACTCTAAAGTCAGTAGGCCTAGTCTCAAATCCTGTCTCTACTACTTACTGGATGTGTGATCTTGGGGAAGCCTTGTCATCTCTTTGAGCTCCAGTTTCCTCCTTTGTAAGATGAAGATGATAGTACATACCTCATAGGTATAAGTGAGTTATGACATATTTACAATACTTGGCATATAGTAGTCACAGTGAGACTCTGTTGGCATAGTGCCTAAGGCATTTGACTGCTAACCAGAAGGTTGGTGGTTCAAACCCACCAGCCACTTTGCAGAAGGAAGACTGGGCAATCTACTTCTATAAGGATTTACCATCTTGGAAACCCAAAAGTGGTCACTGTGAGTTGGAATTGACTCGATGGCAGTGAGTTTGGTTTTTTGGTTTAGTCACAGTGAGAGCTGTTACAGTGAAACCTGTGAGAGTCAGAACTCAATGGGACTGCTTTTTTTTCCTAGGTCCTGAAAGTTTTCTGCCTCTGACAGGGTGCAGTCTTCACACTTTTCTATCATTTGTTTTAGTGGAAAATTTTTGAGTTTTCCTTTTCTGGCAGGTTTACACCTCACACAGATTTCAGCTTTTGCAAGTTTTATGGTGTCCACTTGGCCACAGCAGCCATTGCTGAAGACGCTTAGTTTTCAGTATGGCAGACTGAACTGGGTCACCCACCAGGTATTATGAGGGCAAGGGGTGAACAGAAAGAAACCCTAGCTCCCAAAAATGTGTGACAGATTGTTGTACTCTCACCTGGGCTGGGAGGGTGGCCCTCAAGTTCTTCTGGGGACCAGACCTTCTATTGACTAATGGTCCTCTCCCCTAGCTCCTTTGTTTTCAGGAGGTCCGTCCTAGTCCAAGTTCTGGACCTTACCTCCCTTTCCTTTCTGAATCAGTGCCCTTTGAATGCCTTCAACACCAGTTAACCTCTAGAAGTCTCAGGACACAGGAGGGTCCCCTGATGTCCATCCTGCCACCCTTTTTGATATCTATCAGAGATAGCAATTTCTAGAGAAACTACTAGGGAAGTTAAGAAGGGCAAGGGCAGATGAGGGCACATTGAATTCTTCTCCTGGACTCCCTACTCCCCTTTAAAATTGTTATTAAAGCAATGTATATAGTTGATTTTTAAAATTCAATATTATAAAAATCCTTAAAGTGAAAAGCAAAGACCCCCACCCTTACCTCTCTTCATTCCAGTCCCACAATCTGAATACACTCACTTACGTCTGCCTGATTTTTAGTGTCTTGGTTGTTTCCTCTATGTCATGACATCACTCCATGCCATTAAACAGCATGTTGATACTTTTATATTTTGACAGGAAAGGAAGAAAAGATCAAACTCAATGTCAGAAGAGACTCTGAAACTTGCTCTTGAATGGAGAACAGCTAAAGCAAACAGAAGAAATGATGAAATAAAAGAGCTGAACAGAAGTTTTCAAAGGCAGCTCAAGAATACAAAATAATGTATTATAATAAAATGTGCAAAGACCTGGAATTAGAAAACTGAAAGGGAAGAACATGCTCAGCATTTCTGAAGCTGAAAGAACTAAAGAAAAAATTCAATCCTTGAGTTGCAATATTGAAGGATTCTATGGGCAAAATATTGAATGATGCAGGAAGCATCAAAAGAAGATGGAAGCAATACACAGTCACTGTACCAAAAAGAAATGGTCAACTTTCAACCATTTCAGGAGGTAACATATGATCAAGAATCAATGATGTTGAAAAAAGTCCAAACTGCATTGAAGTCATTGGCAAAAACATACCCACTAAAATGTTTCAACAAACAGATACAGTGGTGGAGGTGCTCACTTGTTTATGCCAAGAAATTTGGAAGACAGCTACCTGCCCAACTGACTGGAAGAGATCCATATTTTTGCTCATTCCAAAGAAAGATGATCCAAAAGAATGTGGAAATTATCAAACAATATCATTAATATCACATGCAAGTAAAATTTTGCTGAAAATAATTCAAAATGGTTGTAGCAGTATATTGAGAGAAATTCAAGGTGGATTCATAAGAGAATATGGAACAAGGAATAGCATTGCTGGTTTCAGATGGATCTTGGCTGAAAGTGAAGAATACCAGACAAATGTTTACCTGTTTTATTGACTATGCAAAGGTATTTGACTGTGTGGATCATAATAAATTATGGTGAACATTGTGAAAAATGGAAATTCAAAAACACTTAATTGTGGTCATGAGGAACCTGTACATAGACCAAGAGGCTGCTGTTCAAACAGAACAAGGGGATACTGCATGGTTTAAAATCAAGAAGGATGTACATCAGGGCTTTATCCTTTCACTATACCTAGTCAATTTGTATGCCTATTCAATCTGTGTCTGAGAAGCTGGACTTTATTAAGAATGTGGCATCAGGATTAGAGGAGGACTCATTAACAACCTGTGATATGCAAATGACACAACCTTGCTTGCTGAAAGTGAAGAGGACTTGAAGCACTTACCCATGAAGATCAAAGACTACAGCCTTCAGTATGGATTATACCTAAACAGAGAAAACAAAAATCCTCACAACTGGACCAATAAGCAACATCATGATAAATGGAGGAAAGACTGAAGTTGTCACAGGTTTTATTTTACTTGCATCCATAATCAACACCCATGGAAGGAGAAGTCAAGAAATCAGATGTTGTATTGCACTGGGCAAATCTGCTGTAAGGGACCTCTTAAAGCAAAGATGTCACTTTAAAGATTAAGGTGGGCCTAACCCAAGCCATGGTATTTTCAATCACCTCATGTGCATGTGAAAGCTGGACAATGAATAAGGAAGACTGAAGAAGAGTTGATGCCCTTGAATTGTGGTGTTGGCAAACAATACTGAAAATACCATGGGCTGCCAGAAGAACAAACAAAAAGAAGTGGAGCTGGAATGCTCCTTAGAAGTGAGAATGGCCAGACTTCGTCTCACCTACTTTGGTCATGTTGTCAGAAGGGTCCAGTCCCTGGGGAAGGATATCATGCTTGGTAAAGTGGAGGGTCAGTGAAAAAGGGGAAGGCCCTTAATGAGATGGATTGGTGCAGCGGTGTAATGATGGCCTCCCGCACAGCAAGGATTGTAAGGAGAATGCAGGACTGGCCAGTGTTTTGTTCTGTTGTACATAAGGTTGCTGTGAGTTGGAGACAACTCAACAGCATATAACAATAACAACAACATATACTTGATTTTTAAAACATAATATTATAAAAAGATTTACAGCAAAAAGCAATGTCCCCTACCTTACCGCTCCTCATCCCAGCCCCACCTTCCTGATACCCCATTTATGTCTGCTTGATTTGAAGTGTTTTGGTTGTTTGCACCATATCATTAAATAGTATTTTGATACTTCTATATTTTGATTTACTAATTAAGACACTATCTAGTTTAACTAAGGAGTTTGCTTACTTGTGCTATTCCTCCTGTTATTTCCTCATTCCCAGCCTTGCACATTTATTTTAAAAGTCCTCTATGGGTGTCCTTTATCCTTTCAAGTTATATGATTAGATGTATTTTTCTCTTTCCATTGACTTTTCCAGTAGCTGTCATTCTTGTAAGTCTAGGTGAGGATCCCTATAACTATCTTTCCTACTACATTGCTTCTCCCCATTCCACCTTCCACTTACGGCCTCTTCACTTTGATCTTTACATTGCTCAAGTGGAGAATACTCATACTCTGTTTCACAAACATATGCTTCTCGTGTTTTGTTTATAAGTTGATTCTAAAAATTGAGAACCAACAGCAGCTTTACATTATCATGATTCTGAATATTGGTCATGGCAGAACCAAGTAATGTATTATGTTTATATTTCCTTTTCTACAATATTTCTAACCATAGTATCCAGATCAAGAGTTAGTAAGTTAAACTATATGAAGTTGCTGTTGTGTATAGGTCAAAAACAATTAAATACAGGCACTTTTACCAATTCAATCTAGTGTAAAGGTGGAGACAGTAAACAGGTGTGAATTTCCTTCTATCTTGAGAAATAAAACATCACCTGCCCAGTGGATGCGTCCTCTCTCACCCATTCACATTCTTGTCCCTGCCCTGTAGAGAGAACCACTGGCTGAATTGGACCTTATTATGCCCATGAATATCTTTATACTTTTACTAAATACGTTCATTGTTGTGTGCCATCGAGTCAGTTCCAACTCACAGTGATCCAATAGGACAGAGTAGAACAACCCCATAGGGTTTCCCAGGCTGTAATCTTTATGGGAAAGGGAGACCTAGTGGCTCAGTGGTTAAGTACTTGGCTTCAGCTGAAAGCTTGAAAGGTTGGTAGTTTGAACCCACTAGCCATTTTATGGGAGAAAGATGTGGCAGTCTTCTGCCCATAAAAATTACAGCCTTGGGAAAACTATGAGACAGTTCTATTCTGTCATATAGGGTCTCTGTGAGTCAGAATTGACTTGATGGCAAGGGGTAACAGAAATCTTTACAGGAGCAGGTCACCACATCTTTTCTCCTGTGGAGCCACTGATGAGTTTGAACTGTTGACCTTTCAGTTAGTGGAGTGCTTAACTATTGCAGGGCTCCTTAAATATGTATATCTCCCTAAACACTATATAGCATTACTTTGCATGTTTTTTCTTTTTACAAAGATGGCATTATATTATTTGTAATCTTCTGCCATGTGCTTAATTTTGCTCAGCATGTTTGTGATCATTTTCTTTGTGGAGACAGGAGGTATAGTCTATGTACATTCATTGTTGTTTAATGTGAATATGATCATTTTTTCTATATGTATTTACTCATCCTCCTATTGGTAGATAACTTTAGGTTGTTTTTCACATTTTTCCTCTTAGAATCAATGTTACTGTGAACTTTCTTGTATATGTGTGAGGATTTCCCTGGGGTGATTACCTGAGAGTAGAAGTGGAGGGTTGAAGAGCATATCCATCTCCAGCTTTTAAAAGTTTGCCAATCACTCTCTAGATTGGATGTACCTATTTACACTCTCTGGGTGCTGTGGACAATTAAGGTGCTCAGCTGCAAACTGAAAGGTTGGAGGTTCCAGTCCACTCAGAGGAAACTTGGAAAAAAGGCCTGGAGGTCTACTTCAGAAAAATAACACCCATGGGTGTGAAATGATGTGGCCCCATTCTCTGCAACACTGAAGTCCAGGAGGCAAGAAAAATTTTAAAATAGTTTGAGGGAAAAAATTGGTGGCACAAGAACTTCACACTAAATGAATTCTTTTTCCTCTTGTATAACAGATAGTCATTCTCAGATGTAGCCAATGCTCTATTTCTATATAAAAGGAGATTTAGGGTTATAACTTGTTGGACGTGGGGAGGCTGAGAGAGAACTTGTTTTGAGGATGCATTTGTGTTGCAAGATGCTACTGTTTACTTAATTATCACAAAGCTTCCTAAAGAACCTTTTATTTAGTCCTTACAAAATATTGGTGTGGTAGTTAAGGTTGTGTGTCAACTTGGCTGGGCCTGGTTTTGAGCGACTGGGCAGCTGGCTGTAGTTATTCCCCAAGAAAAGACTGGTATTTAACTCCATGGTGCAATCTACTGGAGCAGCTGAGTAGCTGCTTTAGGGATGTGGGCTGCTTCCAGTATATAAGAAGCAACTTTGAGGAAGGTCTCCAGCTGATGGCACACTTGAACCTTGAACATAGCTAAGTTGCTGTTCAGCAGCCGCTATGCTCTGCCAATCTTGGGACTTCTAATGGACTTGAATCAATGGCCTGCCATGTGGTTTGGTAACTTTGGGACTGTGCCTTTTCACTTGTTGACCTTGGGTTTGTCAGCCTAAGCAGCCAGTAGCTGCCTGAGTGGGGAAAGCCTCCAGCTTCACTGGGTTGGAAGCAAGAGGCAGAGCTGAAGCCCAAGGTCAAGGGGCTTTCACCCAGTTCCTAGAGCCTGGCACTTTGAATGAGGACTTCTAGCTTCTAAAACTGTGAGAGAATAAACTCTTGTTTGTGAAAGCATCCCTTTTGTGGTATAATTCCTGTCAGAGTGGCACTAGGTAACCAAAACAATTGGGAAAAATCAATTCTTCATATCAAGGATTTTTACCATCATCATCATTATTACTGCTCTACTAGTAGTGATAAGTTTTTTGAGATGGCTTTAGGAGAGTGCTGATAGGTTTATGGTGGGAAAGAGTAGCTAAAATTCTTCCAAGTGCCTCTCCTATTGACACAGCCATTTCTCAAAATAGCAAGTGCTTCTTTGGTTAATAAACTTGTTTTTCCAGCCAACAACTGTTAGAAGAGGAGATAAAAAGTTAGCAGTTCACATTTAAAATGGCATTTAAAAAATAAAATACTTAGGAATAAATCTAACAAAAGATATGCAAGACCTCAAAACCCTAACCTAAAACATAAAGGAGAGAAAAAAGATTTAAATAAATAGAGAGGCATACCATGTTTGTGCATTGGAAGACTCAAAATTTGAAAGATGTCAATTCTCCCCAAGTTGACATATAGAATTAATATAATCCTACCAAAATTCCAACAATTTTTGGGTTTGGTGAAATTTCAGATAATTCTAAAATTCATGTAGAAATTGAAAGGGCTAAGAATAGCCAAGACACTCTTGAAAAAGTGAAATAAAAGGAGAATTTGTTCTCTGAGATGTTTAAGCTTATTATAAGTTATAGAAAGAAAAACAGTGTGATATTGATATGAGGACAGACAAGTAAAGAAATAACTTTTGATATAATTTTGATATATTTGACTACAGTAAAACTACAATTTCTGTTCATCAAAAGATACCAGTAAGAAAGTGAAACAGAATAAAGATCCTAGAAACAGACTTTCACATACATGGATACTTATATGGCAAAGGAAGCACTTAAAAAAAATTAAGTGCTGGACAAATTTGCTGTTCATGGGGAGAAACAGAAAAGAAGAAGAAGAAGAAGCATAATCCTTACTTCACACTGTACACCAAAATAAATTCTAATGTGTCATAGGTCTGACATGAAAGTAAAAACAAGGAAGCTTTTAGAAGATATCTTATATTTGACTACAACAAAACTAACAATTTCTGTTAATCAAAAAATACCAGTAAGAAAGTAGAAAGTTCAGTCACAGGGCAGGAGAAGATATTTAAAACACATAAGACCACAAAAGTGTTTTATCCAGAATATATAAAGAATACTGAAAATCAGAAAGAAAATAAATAGACAACTCAAGAGAAAATGTCTAAGATTTAAGCAGGCCCTTCTAAGAAGAAAGTCAAATGGCCATATGGCTGATAAATACATGATAAAGTTTGCAACCTCATTTGTCACTGGAGAAATGAGAAAATACAAGAAGATACTACTGATACAGAAAGGCTAAAGACAAAAGTTTGACAATACCAAGTGTTGTGAAGGGGACTTGAACTCAGTTCCCTCTGACTCTAAACTCTGTGTTCTTTCTGCAGCAAACAGGACCTTGGAAAACCTCCATGGGCCAGTGCCAATGTGGTGTTCATCCCATCAGAGGACCAGAATCTTTCCTAACTGCTGTGTGAACTTACCTTGGTAGGGAAATAGCGGCTGAATTTGAACTTCTTCAGGGTGAGGGTCATGGAGTATGTCCCGAAGAAAAGAATGAAGGACATGAGTGCAAGGTCTGGGATGAACTGGCAGGAATTCCCAAGCAGGTGCCCACCATAACTCAGACACTCCTTCTTGCTCAGCAGGGACCAGTCTAGCCCTGTGAGGTTAATGGGGTTGTACTTGGAGACCAAGCACAAGAGAGAAAGGGTTAGTGCCTTCCTGGTGTGTCAGCTGTGTCCAAACCCCATCTCCCCCCCCCCCACACACATATCTGCAGTTCCCAAGCAGCCCCCATTCCCTTCATTGCCCTCTGAGATACCCTAGCCCTTCTGTTCCTCAGCAATTTAGTGATCTTCCTGAGGACAGGCTGATATGTTTCTTCATTGTGTTCTAGGACGCACTGCTTTGCTAGCAAGGAGAAAAGTATAAAGGAAATGCCCTCTCCCTCAGAGGCCTGGCTCCAAGCATAATCAACCACAGGAGGTCTGGGCTTCTCCTGCCCAGAGCATCGCCCACTTTTTCTGCCCTGCCCTCCCCTTCTTTCACATACTGGGGCTCACACTCTCCCAGGTCACTTCACTAGTTTCCCCTTGTCGCCCAGATGCCTAAAATCCAGGGGCTACGGAATGCAAAATGTGCCCTTGTGGTGCAATTGTTAAGGGCTCGGTCACTAAGCACAAGGTCCACAGTTTGAACCCACCACTTACTCTGTGGGAGAAAAGACCTGGAGATCCACTCCCATAAAGATTACAGCCTAGATCCTATTCCTAGGGATATATCCTAGAGTCCTAAAAGTAGTGACAGGAGCACACATATGTACATCTATGTTCATTGCAGCTTTATTCACAATACAGAAAGAAAGAAAGAAAAGGAAGGAAGGAAGAAAGAACTGAAGGTCCCATCAGGAGATGAATGGATAAGCAAAATGCGGTACATATATAAAACAGAATACTATACAACCATAAGAACAATGATGAGTTCACAAAACATTATAACATGGATGGACTTCGAAGGCATAATGCTAAGTGAAATAAGTCAATCACATAAGAATAAATACTATATGATCCCTCTTTTATAAAAAGACAAGAATAACCATACTTAAAGAGAGCGATGTTCAGTGGTGGTTACCAGGGAGAGGAGGAGAGGGAAGGGAAAATGTGCTGTAGATCATAAGTACTTGTTATTTTGGGTGATGGGAAAAGTGGCACCAAATATGAGTGTAGCGAGCACAGCATGACCTGAGAGGTGCTCATGAGAAAAGGATACCTGTAACAAAGAATTTGACATAGAAGAAGACAACAAATACAACAAAGAATAGAAAGGAGTTTAGGATCACTTAAGGATGGGTATAAGCATATACATATACAGGTAGGTATAGGTGTACACATAGGTAAAAACAGATAAAAGTATCTATATGTACATGTAAATACAGATATGTATTAACATGCATATATTAAATGAATACACATATATTCACTGAAGACACAATTCCAGATACTCCTTAGATATAACCAAACACCTTCCAGGATCGATATTATGGGTTTGAAGGCTTAGGACCATAATCTTCTGGGACAACTCAGTCAATTGGCATAATATACCATAAAAAGTTCATGTTCTGCATCCTAGTGAAGTGAGTAGTGCCTGAAGTCTTAAAAGCTTGTGAGAAGCCATCTAAGATACAAATATTGATCTCTACTCATCAGGAACAAATGAGTAAGAAGGTAATCAAAATCACAGAGGCAAGTCTACAAGGCTGATAGCTTACATGAGCCACAGCTTCAATTACCCTGAGACCAAAATAACCAAATAACTAGATGGTGCCCAGCTGCCACCACTGACTGATCTGAGTCAGGGCACAATAGATGATTCTGGTTAGAATGGGAAAAAATGCAAAATAAAACTCAAATTTTATAATGACCAGAGTACCTGAGAGCAGAACACTCCCTGAGACTATCACCCTGAGACACTCTTTAAACCTTGAACCAAAATTATCTCCTGAGATTGCCCTTTAACAGAAAAGCAGAGTGACACACAAAATAAAGGCTATTACCCATTAGATCAGTACCAAAAAACAACCAAATGCACTGCTATCAAGTCAGATCCAACTCATAGCGACCCCTCTTTGGGTTTCCAAGGCAGTATCACTACGGAAGTAGATTGCCCAACCTTCCTTCCGAGGAGTGGCTGGTGGGTTTGAACCGCCAGCCTTCTGGTTAGCAGTCAGATGCCCTAAGCACTGCGCCACCAGAGCTCCTATTAGATCAGTGCTCTACTCAGAAAACACCTGTATGTGTCCAAAAGGTCAACATTTAATCCAAAGCAAAGATGAGAAGATAAGGGGGCAGAGAAACTAAAGTACTGGCAATGGAACAACCGGAACACAATGAGAATGTTGATTCAATGTGAAAAAATGTAACTAATGTCATTGATCAATTTGTGTGGAAATTGTCAAAGAGAAATCTAACTTGCTATGTAAACTTTCACCAGTAACACAACAAAATATTATTAGGGGAGAGATTATAGCCTAGGAAAGTCTATGGGTCAGTTCTACTCTGTTATACAGGGTGCTATGAGTCAGAATTGACTCAACAGCACACAACAACAACAAATTACACACACACACACATATATACACACATATAATATTTTTGAGGAGCTCTGGTGGTGTAGTGCCTAAAGTATTGACTGCCAACTGGAAGGCTGGTAGTTCAAACCCACCAGCCACTCCTCAGAAGAAAGGTTGGGCAATCTACTTCCATAGTGATACCACCTCAGAAACCCAAGAAGGGGTTGTTACGAGTTGGGTCCGACTAGATGGCACATAACAACAACAACATAATATTTTTGGATTCTATTAAATATGGGTTTAACAGAATGAGGCACTGTGCTAAGAGGCATATACCTAAAAAGAAAGTATACTTTCAAAGCTTCACATGCCATCACAAGGAGCAGCTTGGGTTGAGAAGTAGCCCTGTGTAGGACCTCTGGGAGGTTGGATTGCCATAAGTTAACCTCAGTTTCTCAAATCTTTCCTTGCTCCCCCCATAAACAAAAGTACTCAAAGCTCTGACATTAGGAAAAATTACTTACCAGAGAAGCATTGGTGTTTGGTGCTGGTGGGGCTGAAGCATTGAACACGGTTGTATTCACTGTGGATGAACACACATGACATGGGAATGGTGATCAGCAGCTGGGTAAGAGCCTGGGCAACAGCACCCACCGAGCACCCACCCTTTTCCCATCTCCCTCCAGGAGTGAAGTCAAGGATTGGCTTTAATTGTAAGGGTATCCCAACACTCTTTTTACTTTGCCCAGAGTGTCAATGAGGCCAGAGAGAGGTGGGAAGGAGCCCGGGCTAAGCCAGGGTAAGACAGTTCCTACTTGACACTGAGGGCTGGTTTTAAAAATTAAATTCAGTGCTAAGACAAGGCCTACAACAAATTGGTGAATAGTGTACCTTTGGAATGTGTATCGTCCAGTGGACCCATTTCTGTGCTATTAGACTTAAAAACATTTTCAAAGAATTTACTCTATGCCACACACTATCCCAAATCCTTATACACATTATCTTGTGAGGTCCCTAAATCCCTATGAAGTATCCCCATTGACAGATGAGGTAACTGAGACCTAGAAAGGTCAATTAATTTGTCCATTTGCCCAAGGTCACACATCTTGTACTTGGTGGTGCCATGATTCCATCCCAGGCAGGCTGGCCCCAGAGCCCATCACCTGCCCTCTTCACCGTGCTGCTCTGCCAACACTTCATTTCTCTCCTTTTTTTGTCCACATACACTTTTTTTTCTAAAGCATTTTATTGTGGTTTAGGTGAAAGTTTACAAAACAACTGAATTTCCCACTCAACAATTTATATCAAGATTGTTTTGTGACATTGGTTGTAATCTCCTCAAAGTGTCAGCTCTCCCCCTACTTCTATCCTGGGTTCCCCATTTCCATTTGCCCAGTTTTCCTGCCCCTCATATATCTTTTTTTTAAGGTTACCTGGGCCTGTAAGAAGTATTGGCTTTGATGTTATCTTCCCTAATCTTCCCCTTTAGGAGCTCTGGTAGCGTAGTGCCTGAGGCACTTGACTGCTAACCAGAAGGCTGGTGGTTCAAACCCACCAGCCTCTCCTCAGAAGGAAGGTTGGGCAATCTACTTCCGTAGTGATACTGCCTTGGCAACCCAAGGAGGGGTCGCTATGAGTTGGGTCCAACTTGATGGCACATAACAACAACAACAACAATCTTCCCCTTGAATGCAAGCTGAGGGAAATCATACTGGCCCTGAGGGAGAATCTAGAACTCAAAGGTTCTGCTCTCAGCTGTTCACCCTGCACTGTCCCTAACTATAACTGCAACATATGAGTGTTCCTTTTAGGCACCATGAGAAGATTTGAGAAGAACCTAATTTCCCTCCTCTTGTTTCCATGTGCCACCTTCCATGCCTCTTGGCTTGCCTCATTTGTTCCCATTCTGACTCCATGGGGAAGCTCATAATCCATAGGGCAGCTCACTAGGGGATATGTTGTTGTTGTTGTTGTTGTTGTTATGTGCCGTCGAGTTGGACCCGACTCATAGCGACCCCTCCTTGGGTTGCCGAGGCAGTATCACTACGGAAGTAGATTGCCCAACCTACCTTCCAAGGAGTGGCTGGTGGGTTTGAACTGCCACCTTCTGGTTAGCAGTCAAGTGCCTTAGGCACTGTGCTACCAGAGCTCCCACTAGGGGATATTGTGACTCATTAAAAAGGCAGACTTAGAGGGCTGCCAGGAGCCCTCTCTTGCTCCTGTGTAGCATAGCTGCAAGAGAAAGGCCAGGGCACCCTCGCCTTCCTCCTCCAAGTGAAAGCCGACTGAGCAGTTCTACTGCAGCAGGTTTGGGTGAAGTTTGTTCTCCAAACTAGATTTGCTGGTAATAAGTCTGAAATGCATCGCAAGCTCCATTTGGTTTCTGCTGGCTGTCCACAGTTGGCTAGGAACAGAGAAAGAAGAGATTTTTTTTCTTCTTCTTTGTTTGTTTGTTGTTTTGTCACTACAGAAATTTTAGAAGAGATTATTCTTGAGACTTCCTCCAGCTTCCAACAAGGTGCCCACAAGGGTGGAGGCACCCACAGGTACCCTCCCTCTATGCTGCTGACTCCCAGGGCAACTGAGAATGGCCAAGAAATTCAGTCTTGACCCAAAGCAGAATATTCCTAGAAGCTCTGCAAATCCATAGATTTGTTACAATTGTCTGAAGAAAGTTTTGTCGCAGAGTCAGTTCTGATTCAGAGTGACCCTATGAGAATAAAACACTGCTTGGTCCTGTGTCAGCCTCACAATCATTGCTATGTTTGGCCCATTGTTGCAGCCAGTGTCCATCCATCTCCCTGAGGGTCTTTCTCTTTCGACCCTCTACTTTACCAAACATGATGTCCTTCTTCAGGGGCTGGTCCCTCCTGATAACCTGTCCAAAGTACATGAGACAAAATCTCACCATCCTTTCTTCTAAGGAGCATTCTGGCTGTACTTTTTCTAAGCAGATTTGTTTGTACTTCCGCAGTCCATGATATATATATTCAGTATTCTTTGTCAACACCATAATTCAAAGGCATCAATTCTTCTTTGGTCTTCTTTATTCATCATCCAGCTTTCACAAGCATATGAGGCAACTGAAAATACCATGGCTTGGGTCAAATGCCTCTTAGTCCTGAGGACTAAAGGACATCTTTGCTTTTTAACACTTTAAAGGGGTCTTTTGCAGCAGATTTGTCTAATGCAGTAACTAGTTTGATTTCTTGACTGCTGCTTCCATGGGCATTGACTGTGAAAGCTTTACTTGTTAGAAATCAAGGACATCTACTGCCTTTCCTCACTCCATGACCAAGAGAACAGGATGAACAATGAACGAAGGGGACAGAAAAGTTTGGCAAGAGGGCTGGTTCAGGGCTGCCCACACAAATGCTAGAGGACTTTCAGCTAGAGCTTGAGCCTGGGGAGTTCAGATCTTTTTCAGAGTTAGACATTCTTTTGATGTCTTTGGCTTAGACTTACACATTCTTTCATGTTGGAAACTTTGCGTGGTTTACCTAAAAAGCCACTTTAAGATGAAGATGGAAGAAATACAACATGGAAAATTCCAGAAAGGATCTAAGTCTAAAATATTTCAAAATTTTTCTGTTTACAAAGTGGTACTCACTTGGGATTGAAAGCAGCCAAATCAGTGTGCAGCAACAACAAACAGAATACAAATCAGTTATAATGGAAACAAAATTAAAACAATAGAGTGCCCAGTAAAAAATGTACCAGGATAATGTAAGATGTTACTAATAGGGAAAACTGTGCGTATGAAGGGGAGGGTATGGAAACTCTACTAGCTGCTCAATATTTCTATAAACCTAAAATTGCCTTAAAACTAAGGTCTGTTAGATTCAAGAGAGACAGAGAGTGAGAGAGAGCCCCCAAAGAAGTTTATATGAGGAGGGAGAAGGAGTGATACTGTGCCTAGGTTTTGCAGACTAGGTTTTGCACTAAAACTAGGAATATGGAACAATTAGTAAGTAGGTGGCCCATGGCCTGGGAAAGAAATGCCCCTCAGTTACATCCCCACTCTCAAATTACCTAAATACCAGGGACTTTCCTCTCCATATTTTCCTGATCAAAACTAACTTGTCCTGTTTTCAGTTCCTTTACTCTCTTTTTGGAAACTGAAAATCTAATCTTACTAGGGTTAGTGGCTATTCCCTTGGGTGGTACAAATGGTTAACATGCTAGGCTGCTAGCCAAAAGGTTGCAGGTTCTAGTCCACTCAGAGGCATCTTGGAAAAAAGGCCTGGTGACCTACTTCCAAAAAATAAGCTGTGAAAACCCAATGAAGCATGTTCTACTCTGACATACATGCGATCACTATGGGTTGAAATCAACTCAGCAACAACTTTTTTTTTTAGTAATTAATAGCTCACTCGAGCAGTGATTCTCAAATTTGAGCAAGTATCAGAATCATCTGAAGGGTTGTTAAGACACTGTTAGCTGGATCCCGCCCCAGAGTTTCTGATTTGGTAGTCCTGAGGTGGGGAAGAGGAGAATTTACGTTCCTAACAAATTCTCAGATGGTGCTGAAGCTGCTAGTCTGGAGATCACACTTTGAGAACCACAGCAACAACGTGATGCAAAAGAATGAGGCAACATCAGGCATCTGGTCAAGGCCAGAGGGGACACTCTTTGGAATCAGGTGGCCTTTATCAGGCCCTTATATGCTCTTACACCACCTGTTCGTAGGGCCCCCTTGGGCTTGGATTACTCCTTGGACAGATGATTCTCAGAATGGCCAAAGCCACACATCTGACCCCATAATTCAAACTATTTCTAAAAGAGTCCAAGGATGTGTACTTCTAAGTCACATGCATGGGAATATTTGTGTTCAATGTGGTAGATAAGGTTCAGAGGGTGCAAACAGCAAACAAGAGTGCCTTCCTGGGGATCAACCCCATCTGCTCTGGGGACAGAATGAAAAGGGCCTGCAGGCAGGTAGGATTTTCCCTGATGCTGTGGGAAAGCAAGATGTCCTGGTTCAGGACAAAGGAGAGCTTCACCTGTCATTGGATATCAATGGAATAACTCCAAATTGATTGTAGAAAAAATTAAGTCTAGACTTCTTTACGAAATCAGTGCAGTGACAGAGGGAGAGGGGATATGCTCAGACTGAAATTTCTGGGGGGCAGGACATCTTTATCTTCCACAAGGCCTAGTTTAAAGTAGGGAGCACAGCAACTGTGCAGGAAATACTTTTGATTGCTTTATGATTGATGTTTTATTACTAGTATGTTTCAAGGGGCTGAAAACCCCAGTATCTACTTATTTCCTCAAACCTAACCTGAGTATAGGAGCTTTGGTGGTGTAGTGCCTAAGGCATTTGACTGCTAACCAGAAGGCTGGTGGTTCAAACCCACTAGCCATTCCTCAGAAGGAAGGCTGGGCAATCTACTTCCATAGTGATACCACCTCAGAAACCCAAGGAGGTTGGCTATGAATCAGATCTGACTTGATGGCAGTGAGGTTTTTTTTTTTTTTTTTTTTTTTTAATCTGGGTATAGATTTGGAAACTTCATAAGAGTCCCAGGAGATGAGCAGGGCCAGCATAGGCATCCTTTTTTTTTTTTTTATATCAAGGGAAACCAAAGTTTTGTGTGACCCTGGATGGTCTCTGGACCTAGTTGGCTCTCTGTAGGCCCAGCTTTTTGGTTCTTAGATGGAGCTCTGGCCTCTGCTCCATAGACATCCTGGGCACTCTGCTATAGGCAATTAGGGGCATATGACTGTGAAGGAGGTCAGAGGTTCAGACTCTGCAAGAAGCTCCTATTTTATGCCCTAAGTTTACAGATGGTAGGTTGTTCCCTCCCCCTCAGATAATAACTCCTCAGAAATGGCATTGGGTATTACCAGATTGACCAGCTGGTTGATTAAAGCTCCCACCAGTGCTAGAATGTTTTTTTATAACATCTTTGGCAGATGGACATCCAGCTAGTGTTCAAGGAACTCACTACCACTTAAGGGGGCCAAGACCTCCCGTGGGGCAGCTCCCACCACTATAAATTCTTCCCTAAGTTCAGTCAGCATCTGGCTCCCTGGAGTTTCTGCTCCTTGGTCCTCATTCTGCATCCTGTAGTTACCCAGGGTGAATCTGGCCCTTGTGTGACACAACCATCCTTTTCTCATAGCTCTCATATCCCCAAAAGGCTGAATAACCCCAGGTTCTCCAGACCTTCCTCAAATGACATGGTTGCCAAGCCCTGCACCCTGGCCAGCCCCCTCCTGGATGTGTTCCTGTTATTTGGATGCTCCCTTCTCTGGCATGGTCTGATCTGGGTGATAAAGCAAGAGCTGGCAAGGATGTGTCAGGAAGCACTCACAGTGTCATACACTCATGGAGCTGGGAGGGACTTTAAGCACCAGTAGGTCTACCTCTGTCCTGGAGCAGGAACCCCTGGGCAGCATTCCTGACAGAAGTAGCCTCCACATCATCTCTCCCACACTGAGGCAGAGCATGCTCCCTCTTCCTCCTGAGCTATTCCTGCTTCCTTCTGATTATACCCTGGGGGCTGGCATTGTGACCCTTGTTAGAGCTACTCTTCCATTGGCCTCCTTCCAAAAACTGGATTTCTTTGCTCCCTTGAGACAGTACACTGAAAAACTTGGCTTGAATAGCTTTGGCTTAGTTGAACAGTCCCTCCCAAGCAGATCCACTCTGTGCATTTGGGTAGAGAGTGGGTGGGAGGGTAGGGGCCCAAGGATGCCTGGGGTTACCGGTCACCTGTATCGGGGGCGACACACTCGCATTTGTAGGTGGTGATGGAGTCAGGCTTGAAGTCCATGTTGATAGGATAATACTTGAAGGCACCAATCATCTTTTTGATGGCATCGTAGATGAAGATGAAGCTGATGAGGGTGGAGAAACCTTCCTCGGTGAAGCGGGTGATATACTTGATGATGAAGCTGGCATCTGTGGCCACCAGGATAAGGCACTGGATGGCTGAATGCAGGCCAATCCAGAGACGGAACTCCATGTAGTCCAGGCCATTGCCTCTGGAAGGCAGAAGAAGGGTGAGCAGTCTCCAGTCTAGGGCTCTTGGCTGCTCTGGGCTCCCCAGACCCACCCAGAGTGGCTCATCTGCCCCTCCTGTGGACATCCTTCTAAGAACTATGAAGGGACTGGGGACATGGAGAATTCCCAGGTGAGGTTGTCTGGTCTTTGAGAATTCTGGGGAAGGACCTCATGGGGGAGGTGGGGAGGTGGTAACAACCCTTAGTCCTCAGGCATTTGGTAATAAATATCCAAATGAAGGAAAAACTGATAATTTCAGAATACAACATTGGAGAGGGCTTAGAAAAGATCTAGTCTAAACCTTCAGGTTATATATGGAACAACTGTGTGTAGAGAGGTGTCATGATGTGTCGTCATGGTATAGCTTTTTGATCTCCAGCTTAAGGTCTTTCACTATATCACCCTGACTCTCAAGTCATAATTGCTTACAAGCAGAGTGGTTTGGATTTCCTCCTCTTTTTGCCTGGATTTCACCCTATGCTAACATATCCTTAGATGGTTCAAAGGGACATAGGTGGAGGGAGTTAGGAGGCAACAATGTGGCCTACCTACAGTTCTTCCCATAGCTAAAGATGGCTTTTTAGCACCTTATCCCCACTTTGGGGCTAGTCCCCTGCCCAGACTTTGTCATACTGCTCTTGGCTCATTCTCAAGTGTCAGGGCAAATACCAGGGGCTCCAAGGAGCACCTACTTGCTGAAGTCGAAGAGAAGCTTCTCAAAGATGAGGATGGGCCCCGTGCTGCTGAGGATGATGAGAGGCTGGCCCGAGAAGAGGCAGAACAAGGAGCCGGCCATGGCAGTACCCAGGAAGCTCTCCATCACTCCCTGTAGGTACAGTGAGCTGTGAGGCTTGAGTGGAGGTAGGGGAAGGGGCCTCACAGAGTCCAGCTATTTCCCAAGGGCCCAAGGCCACAATGGTCATCCTTTGTTCTGAGGCTCTTGTGTCTTCCATCTCTGGCCAAATGCTCCCCAAATTCTGCTCCTCATTTCCTAGTCCACAATCCTTCCCCTCCTGCCATTGCCAGTGTCCTCTCTCTAATTCCATTTGGATAAAGGTTCTATGTGACTTCCTTTGGTACTCTAGGACCTAGACAACAGTGGTGGCAATGGATGTGCTTGTCTCTCCTCATTCTGCTCCCAGGAGACAGTCATTCACCTGTCCAACCATTCCTTAATTCAAATATGTTAGGTGCTTATGATATTTCAGAGGTTAAACCACTCATTCATTCAAAATCCATTAATATATCAGACATTGTGCTAGACAGTGAGGACTCAGCACTGAACAAGATAATGTGTCTTCAGTCTAGTGGGAAACAGAGACAAGGAAATACGTGATTTCCATACAGCAGTCAGCCTCAGTACTGCTGACTTTCTGGCTGGATAACCCTTTATTGTAGAGGGCTGTCCTGTGCATTGTAGGATGTTTAGCAGAATCTCTGGCTTCTACCCACTAGATGTCAGTAGCACCTCCCCAGTTATGACAACCAAAACTGTGTCTAGAAGTAGCCAAATGTCTCCTGGAGTCAAAATTGTCTCTGCTTGAGAAGCACTGCTAAGGAATGTGATAGGCTGGGAGGAGGTCAGGGTACCATAGGCACACACAGTAGGAGTGAAGGGGTGGTCTGGGTAGCCTTCTTGTAAGTAGAAATGTGGAGGCTGAGACCTAAAAAATGAGTAGAGATTTGACCAGGGGACTAGAGTAGGCAGAGTGATGAGAAAGGGTGTCCCGTGAAGAGGGAACAAGATGTATAAAAGCTGGAGCTGAAAGGGAGCGTGCACTTGAAAGAGTGACAGATGATCGAGACTGATGGGCAACAAATGCAAAGCAGTGAGTGAGGAAAGCTGAGAATGAAAACACTGGAGACAGGCTTGAGAGGCAGGTAGGATATGTTGGAAGGACACGTGGAGAAGCTGAGTTTATCCTGAGTTGAGGATGACACTGGGTTTTTGGTGTGGGCAGCTGAGTGAAACACGGTACCACATGCTGGGCTGTGGAAGGACCAGGACAGCAGGTCTGGAGGGAAGATGTTAAACTCAGTGCCAGCTGGGTGAGCTGAGGGCTCCTGAGGGACAGCTGTGTGGACATACCCAGGAAGCAGCTGATAATGGATCTGAAGCTCAGGAGAGAGTGTGGGATGGAGACACTCCTCATTCCAATTTATCTGGCAAATGAGTCTGCCCTGGTGCTCTGGGTTTACTAAGGGCTGTACCCTGAAGGCCTCATCCAGGAAGGTCTTTGCCTGATAGGAGCGGGTGTTTCTGCTGAGCTACTATTTCCCCAGGGCACCCTGTTTTTGTCATGGTAACAGCTTACAAATCTTCTAAAAATGTCTTAACTCCAAGGTTAGTTTAGGAAAGAGTGTGCAGAGAAGGCCACAAGTAGCAAAAACAACTCAATTAATTGTACTGATTAAGCTCATTCAAAGATCAGTGGGAAAAGGACTAGATAACAAAGTACAAGTTTGACCCACTTACATCATCCTTAAATTTGGTTTTTAATAACATGATTTAGCTTCAGCTCTGTGACAATAACAATGCTAGATGATGATCATGATGATTATTATTTTGAAGGGTAGAGGATGACAAAAAGTCATGGCTTGAGTCTGGATGGTAGATGAATCCAGAGCCTTGGGACTGAAGTATGGGATAAAGCTTCTCCCCACCACCTGGTGGCAGCATAGTTTAGTGAGATTTGTTCCCATGTCTAGCTCAAACACACCTGGTAATTGTCGGTGGCATCCCCCAGAAGCCCACCAAAGGTTATGGCGTTGGTGATACAGCCGAGGTAGATGAAGAGGATGGCAGAGATGGACTGAATGTGGAAGCCATCGTAGAAGTCACTTGGGAACCAGGGCAGCTTCCTCTTGACATCCAGACGCAGACCACCGAAGAACCTGTTGGGGAGAGGCCCAGGGGCTGCTTTCTCACCACTAACACTGGGGTAGGACTAGAGCTATTTATAGGAGCCTGCACAATCTAGGGTGAGAAAGGGAACTGGACAGGGGATAGACAGGGAAAGGATCTTTCCACCAGAACATTTAGGGATGAATTCTTATGGGACTGAGAGTTTGTGATCAGCACCAGTCACACTGGGAAGAACAATCATAGACACTGATTGGATGGGAGAGGGAAGACTTCCTGGGAATAAAGGTACATCTAACACTGAATTGGGAATGGATATCCTGGGTCCAAAGATGGCGGCACTCTTCATGTTCCTGATCATCTTGAAGGGCTCCTGTGCTTGCTGAACACAGGTGTGCCCAACTCCAGGAGACAGACATCCCAGATTACGGCACAAAAGTATTAAGGGGAGATGTTGAACCATATAAATGGTTTCTTTGCTTTTCTGGAATAACTGAGAGCAACTTTTAGGTTTAGGGACAAAGTCTATTGGCGATGCTATTCCCCATATCACCTAATGCAGTGCTTAGCATGGAGCAGGAGTCCTCAGCCTCAGCAATACTGACACTTGAGATCAGATAATTCTTTGTTGTTGGAGGCCATCCTGTGCACTGTAGTGTGTTTAGCAGCATCCCTGGCTCCTACTATGCCAGTAGCAACTCCTCCCCCAAGTTGTGATAAACAAAAATGACTCCAGACATTGCCAAATTCCCATGGGGGTGGGGGGTTGTTGTTAGGTGCCATCGAGTCATCTCTGACTCAGCGACCCTGTACACAGCAGAACAAAACACTGCCCAGTTCTGCTCCAGCTCCACGATCCTTGCTATACTTGAGCCCATTGCTGCAGCCACTGTGTCAAACCATCTCATTGAGGGCCTTCTCCTCTTTCGTCAACCCTCCACCTTACCAAGCATGACATCCTTCTCCAGGGAATGGTCCTTTTTGACAACATGACCAAAGCAGGTAAGACAAAGTCTGACCATTCTTGCTGCCAAGGAGCATTCTGGCTGCACTTCCTCCAGGACAGACTTGTTAGCTCTTTTAGCAGTCCATGGTACTTTCAGCATTCTTTGCCAGCACCACAACTCAAAACATCAACTCTTCTTCGATTTTCCTTATTCATTGTCCAGCTCTCACATGCATATGAGGTGACTGAAAATACCATGGCTTGTGTCAGGTGCACCTTAGTTCTCAAGGAGACATCTTTGCTCTTCAGCACTTGAAAAAGATCCTTTGCAGCCGATTTACCCAGTGCTGTATGTTGTCTGATGTCCTGACTGCTGCTTCCATTGGCATTGATTGTAGAACCAAGCAATGTGAAGTTTTTGACAACTTCAATCTTTTCTCCATCTATCGTGATGCTGCTTATTGATCCAGTTGTGAGGATTTTTTGTTTTCTTTATATTGAGATGTAATCCATACTGCAGACTGCATTCTTCAATCTCCATCAGTAAGTGCTTCAAGTCATCCTCACTTTCAGCAAGCAAAGTTGTGTCATCAGTGTATTGCAGGTTGTTCATTATTCTTCCTCCAATCTTGATGCCACATTCTTCTTCATATAGTCCAGCTTCTCGGATTATTTGCTCAGCATACAGATTGAACAAGTATGGTGAAAGGATACAACCCTGACACACTCCCTTCTTGATTTTAAACCATGTAGGATCCCCTTCTTCTGTTTAAATGACAGCCTCCTGGTCAATGCACAGGTTTCTCATGAGTACAATTAAGTGTTCTGGAATTCCCATTCTTCTCAATGTTACCCATTGTTCTGGTAACCTAGTGCCGCTCTGACAACAATATACCACAAATGGAATGGCTGAACCAACAGTTTATTCTCTTACAGTTTAGAGGCATTAAGTCCAAGTTCAAAGTGCCAGGTTCTAGGGGCTGGGTTAAAGCCTCTCAACCTTGGACTTCAGCTCTGCCTCCTGCTCCCGGCCCACTGGAGCTGGAGGCTTTTCTTCACTCAGACAGCTACTGGCCACTGGGACTGACAAGGCTAAGGCTGACAAGTAAAAACCACAGTCCTGATGTTACCAAACCACACGGCAGGCCATTAATTCCAGTCCATTGAAAGTCCCAGGGTCGACAGAGCATGGCAGGCTGCTGAACAATGACTCCGCTACATGCAGGGTCCAAGCATGCCACAGCTAGAGACCATTCCCAAAGCTGCTGCTTATGTACCAGAACCAGACCACATCCCTAAAGCAGTTACTCAGCTGCTTGTGGTAGGTCCCATCATGGAGTTGATTGCCAGTCTTATCATGGGGAGTAGCTATCTCCAGCTTCCCAGCCACTCAACCAGGCCCAACCAAGCTGACATACAACTTTAACTGCCCTACCCATAACTCGTTATGATCCACACAATCAGAGGGCCGAATCTTACTCTCTTTGAGAAACACTGCCATAGACCCAACTCAGCCCTTCAAGGGCATCTAAAATAGGACTCCATTCTCAAAATAGCAATTTACATTTAGCTTGACAAGACCATGTCCTTTCCTATATCTAGATCAACTTGAGTTACTCTAAGAGCTAGCAAAGAAAGCCAAGCTAGGAGATTTTCTTTAAAAAAAAAAAAAAAAAAAAAGGTTTTGAATAGGTAACATAAGTTTAACAACAACAACAACAAAAAAAAAATGTCAAAAGGTACAGAGAATATCTGTAAAGTAGTTTGGGTTCCTCCTCTTCCTTGTCCTAGTCTTGGGTCCCTTCCCGTGAGGCACCTGCTCTCGCGGACCCAGGAGGGGCTTTGAGGGAGAGGCATTGAGGAACAGAGTGCGGTGGTCAGATTGCTACACTGCGGAGGTTACAGGCTGTGGTGGGGATCGCTCTTAACAGGGTGGGTGAGGAGAGACGTCTAAAGAACAGCAGGGGTCACTGTCACGCCTTGGGTGGGCACCTTCCTGTCCAGAGAAGCTCTTCCCCGATTTCATGCACCGCTGGCATCTCGCCGTCATCCCCGCCGTTCCCGCTGCTGGCCCCGCCGCCGCCGCCAGCGCCACCGCCCCCGCCGCCCCCGCCGCCGCCACTGCTGCTGCCTCCTGCCGGCGTGCCGCCGCCACCGCCCACGGAGCCGTTCATCTGGCCGAGCTCTGCCAGGGAGAACACGGATTTCCTGCAAGCAGAAGGGGGTGCGGGAGTGTGGGGCTCTCAATCTTGCCTGTCCCCAGAATATCTCTTACCTGTTCAATAAAATGATGAAGTATCTTAAAACTACAAAGCAAAAAATACAAAAAATGATCTAACGACACCCACACACGTCATCCAGATTTGACAGATGTTCATATTTAGCCATATTTACTTCAGACTATCTTTAAAGAAATGAAATGACACAGAATTGAAGCTCCCTTTGTACCACCCAGCCAGCCACCCACACACATACACACCTCTTGTCAGCAGAGGGCACTTTCTTGGGGGGCTCAATTCGGATATTTGGGTCCCATTCTCCGGGGGGAAGGACAATGACCTCGTCCAGAAACTCATCAATTCCTGCGATTAGATCGTCCCTATTGCGGGCTTTATAGGCCACATCGCTGAAGAGCTGGTAAGGGAGGTGGAAGGGGGGAGGAGAGGTCAGCTTTCTCTCATATCCCCTCCTTTCCCACCTCCTATGAAGCATTTCATATACAGTTTCAAAGAAAATCACTTTGGACCACTGCCAATTCTCTCTCAGTTTCCAAGGGGAGAACATGGGGCAGTAAGTGAAATATGGTCCATTGAGGAATGGCAGGTATGGGAGAGTCAGACCTTCCTGGCAGAGGCATACCTAAGGGAAAATAACACCTATGGTAAGCACTGAAATTGTGCTCCTGTCCAAACACCTGACACCCACCTCTGAGATAACTTTACCATAACAGCTCAAAAATACAAATCTTTAATCTTTTACTTAGCACATTACGGCACTGCATGAAAATGACAACTGCACCTTCCTTGCTTTCACTGATGAAAATTGGTCTATGATGTGCTCAGTCACTTTTCCCTACTTTCTTCTCCTACACTCAGCAGAGCAAGAGCAGTCTGCCTTCACTCACAGAGGCTCTCAAATATGAAAGTACTAGTTTGAACTTGCTGAATGATCTCTCATAGCTGGCGATGGAAACTAATGGTTAATAGAAACTTCTCAGTGGTGCTCCCCTTCAAGTGGTGCCCAGGGCACGTGCCATACCTCCCATACCTTAGATGTGATTCTGGCTCTGGTCTGAAGGCAAGACCTCCATATTCTAGTTGTAGGACTTTGGTTGAGTTACTTAGTCTTTTTGGTTTTGGTTTTCCATAGAGCAAGCATTTTAGAAAAGCCTTGCAAAGCCCAGTCCAAGAAGCTCAGGTATTTCAAGTCTAATTATTATTTCCCTAGCCCTTCACTGGAATCCCAGGGCAGTGCAAACAGTTCGCAAACTCCACCATTAACCAAAAATTAGAGGTTTGAGCCCATCCAGAGGGGCCTTGGAAGAAAGGCCTCACAGTCTACTTCAGAAAAATCAACTATTGAAAGCCCTATGGAGCTCAGTTCTACTCTGACATGCATGGGTTCACCGTGAGTCAGAACTGACTGGACAGCAAATGGGTTAGCCCTTCATCCTTAAGATCAGGTCGTTTCTTTCTACACTGTTTCCAGGTGTGCTTTCGAACCACAAATCTGATTAGGTCATGCCCATGTCTAAAGCCCTCTAGGATCCCCCATCAAACTCTGTCCCCAGAGTGTGAACACAGCTTTGCCTATAAGGGCTCTGTGTAGTCTCAAGTTCCCCACTCTGGTGTCACCTTCTGCACTGGAAGCTCTTACACTGAGCCTCCATGAACCACTTCTGTCCAGCTTCTCTATCTCTGAGCCTTTGCCCCTGTCGCTTTTGTCTAGAATGCCCATTCCTAGACTCAAGCTAGAAGCTCTGGTAGAATAGTCCCTAAGGCACTTGACTGCTAACCAGAAGGTTGGCAGTTCAAACCCACCAGCCACTCCTTGGAAGGAAGGTTGGGCAATCTACTTCTGTAGTGACACTGCCTCTGAAACTCAAGGTGGGGTCGTTACAAGTTGGGTCTGACTCGATGGCACATAACATCAACAACAGACTCAAGCTGTGTCAGCCTAACTCTTGTTCATTCTTAGTGTGAAAGCCCCCTTATCTGTGACTCCTTGAACAGAGTTAATTTTATGATCAGAGATATTTCTCTCCTACTTGATTTGGGCTCCTAGAGGGCACGACTATTTATTGCCTGATGTTGGTAATCTTTAGCACTCTGCACAGGGCTTGATACACAGTGGTACTCAAATATGCATGCATGCATGAGGGAATGAATGAAGAAATGCACAAAGCTTAGTGCAGGGGCCATAATGTCCAAGAGCACATGTTTCTCATTACCACTTACATCATCTACCATGAGGGTTGCAATGGCACGGCCAATTTCATTGTAGGATTTTGCTCTCCCAGAAGGTCCCAGCAGTATGAACAGAAATCTGCAAAGAAGAGGATGAAGGAGGAGATTAAGAAGATAAGAGAGGAGGAAAAGGAAAATGAGAAGGACAAATATAAGGAGAGGAGGGGAGGTGGAAGCAGGTGCACAGAGGATTTTCTGGCATTGAACAGCATCCATTCTTAACTTTTTGGCTGACCATAAACTTATTCCTTCCCTCTTTTGAATGCTATACTTATTTTGGAGAAACATCTCTTTTTTCACTCTTACTGTGCTCCTCCTTAAGGAACTCTGGTGATGTAGTGGTTAAGACATTTAGCTGCTAAGCAGAAGGTGAGTGGTTCAAACCCATCCTTTTGCTTCATAGAAGAAAGGTGAGGCAGTCTGCTTCTGTAAACCTTTACAGCCTTGAAAACCCAATGAGTATCACTATGAGTTATAATCAACTTGATAGCAATGAGTTTTGTTTCTTTTAGTGCTCCTCTCCATGAGCAATGTCTTCTGCCTAACACCATTCAACAGCATCTCCCTCAGCTGTTGGCATCCTTCTCTTTTGTGATTACTTAAAAAAAATTTTTTTATTGTGGTGGAAACATATATAACTAATTCAACAATTTTTACATGAACAATCCAGTGACATTGATTATGTTCACAATGATGTGCAACCATTGCCTCTTTTGGGATTATTTTCAATACATTTTCCAAATCTCTTTCCTACTCAGAAGATTTCCATCCTCCACAAATTCTCTCATTTTCCTTCTATGTTTTAGGAGTTTCTCTAACAGCACTACTTGCTTGACTGCCTGCTGGATTGTTGGCTACATTAGGGTGGGCATGGTGGTCAGGTTTAAATGATGCTTACCTAGTAGGAACAGGCACCTCAGTCACTCCTCCCAACATGGCAGACTGGATGAGACGCACGAAAGCAATAAATGGCTGATCCAGAAAGTCTACCTCACCCACCAGCACATTGGATGCTTCTGAGTCCTTGGGGATCTTCTTCATGAATTTGTTTTTCCGCTGGTCAGGAAGGTGGAGATAAGATACCATGACTGCCCACTCCCAGTGGTTTCAGCTCTCACCCCCTCACTCCTCTCTAGAGGCCTCACTTTATAAATTCTCCCAAGACATCTCAAGAACAGTGGCATCACTAAGGCGCTCTAGTGGCATGGTGCCTAAAGTATTTGATAACTCATGGTGTCACCCCCATCCCATGAACCTCCTCCCATACCAGACCATACAGAATCTTTAGTAATGTTTACTGTTAATTTAAATCATAGAATAATAAGTGATAAACATAGTTGTGAATTGCTTAAATGTAGTATTTCTAAGATTTTATGAATATTTATAACAAAATTGTTTTGTAAAATCTTTTTGCATTGAATCACACTATTATTAACTGAATGAAGTCTTTTTTGATTTTTTTCTACTTCTTTTCCTTTAATTACTACTTAATTCTCAAAAAAAGCTATTGATATAGGTTTGCAAATACTAATTATTGATTGTAGCTAAAACATGAGAAAATTAGACAAAATCAGTGACTATAAAAATACCATCAACTATGAAAACAACAGCATGTATTCAAATCACATGCAGATGAAATCATGTGATTCAAAATGTCATTTAACTGGGTAATAATGACAGCTCCTACTGGAGTACATTAAACAAAAAAACAAACTCACTGCCATCGAGTCAATTCTGACTTTAAGTGAGCCCCTTTGGGTTTCTGAGGCGGTAAATCTTTATGGAAGTAGATTGCCCAGTCTTTCTTTCATGGAGTGGCTGGTGGGTTTGAACCTCCAACTTTCTGGTTAGCAGTCAGATGCCGTAGGCACTACACCACCAGAGCTCCTTACTGGAGCACATTAGAAGGTTCAAAAAGCAGATTAGCATAAAGATTTGACAGAAAATATTTCTACCTATGTATCTATATGTACTGCAAATATATCCATGAACATAGAGAAGCATGCATGAAGCAAAGTTATGAAAACTTCTTAGTCATAACCAAATAATTGAAGGGAATGAGTTGCTGGACATGGGGGCTCAGGACCATAGTTTTGGGGGACACTAAGGTCAATTGACCTAACATAGTCCACAAAGACAATGTTCTACATCCTACTGTGGTGAGTAGTGACTGGAATCTTAAAAGCTTGTGACTAGCCATCTGAGGTACAACTATTGGTTTCTTCCTGTCCAGCACAAAGAAGAGTGAAGAAAATCACAGATGTAAGGAAATAATTAGTTCAAAGGACTAATGGACCATGAGAACCCTAGCCTCCATAATCCTGAGACCAGAAGAACTAGATGATGCCCAGCTAGCACTGCCAACCACTCTGAAAGTGATCAAAATAGGAGATCCTGGATAGAGTGGGAGAAGGATGTGGAACAGAACTTAAAATCATTAAAAAAAAAAAAAAAAAAGATTAGGCTTATTCACCTGTCTGATAGAAGCTGGTTAAGCCCCAAAGACTATGACTCCTAGCCCTTTTGGGTCTGGAATTGAACTCTCTCTGGTGGCTTCCAGGCAAACAACAGCCATATAAGGTGAACATTTACACCAAATAGGTACATTCCTTAGAAAACTCAACCATAGGAGATCAGAAGGGCTGTATTTGCACAGGAAGATAGCTCAGAGGGCAGGAACGCATAGGAAAGAAGGACACAGGGAAAAGGTAACCACAGGGAGGAAGTGGGATGAGAGTTGTTACATTATGGGGATTGCAATCAATGTCATGAAACAAAATGTGTATGAACTGTTGTATGGAAAATGAATATGCTCTGTAAACGTTCACCCAAATCACAATTTAAAAAGTAAATTTTTAAAAATGACAATATTCTACATCCTATTTTGGTGAATAGCGACTGGGGTCTCAAAACCTACTTCACAGCCACAGTAGTCAAAACAACCTGGTATTGGTACAATAACAGACACACAGACCAGTGGAGCAGAATTGAGAACCCAGAAATTGATCCATTGACCTATGGTCAGCTGATCTTTGACAAAGGGCCAAAATCCATTAAAAGGGGAAGAGATAGTCTCTTTCATAAATGGTGCTGGCAAAACTGGATATCCATTTGCAGAAAAGTGAAACAAGATCCATACTTCACACCACACAAAAACAGTAACTCCAGATGGATCAAAGACTTAAATGTGAAACCTGAAACTATAAAGTTCATCAAAGTAAAAATAGGGGCAAACTTAAGGGCTCTAATTTATGGCATAAATAGACTATCAAGCATAACCCAAAATGCACAGATAGTAGAAGATAACTAGATGACTGGGGCCTTCTAAAAATTAAAGTCTTATGTGCATCAAAAGACTTCTCCAAAAGAATAAAAACAGAACCTACAGAATGGGAAAAAATATTTGACAACGACATATTGGAAAAAGGACTTATCTCTAATCACTAGCCATTAGAAACCAAACCAAACCCACTGCCCTTAGAAAGATGAAAATCAAAACAACCTCCAGATGCACCGGCACTAACAGCAAAGTTCAACAAGACAGAAAATAACAAATGCTGGTGAGGATGTGGAGAGGCTAGGACTCTCATACTCTGCTAGTGGGACTATAAAGTGATACAACCACTGTGGAAATCAGTATGGCGACTCCTTAAAAATTTGGAAACAGAAATACTATTTGATCCAGAAATCCCATTACTAGGTATATATCCTAAAGAAGTGAGAACCAAGACAAGAACAGATATATGCATACCCTGTTAATCACAGCACTATTCACAATAGCAAAGAGATGGAAACAACCTAGGTGCCCATCAACCAAGGAATGGATAAACAAACTGCAGTACATACACAAAATGGAATACTATGCAACCCAAAAGAATAATGTAGAATCTGCAAAACACCACATAACATAGATGAATTTGGAGGATATTATGCTGAGTGAAATAAGTCAATCACAGAAGGACAAATATTATATTAGTCTATTATTGTAAAAAGTCAAGGAAAAGTTTATTCATGGAAGGAAATTTTCTTTGTTGGTTACCAGGGATGGGAGAGGGGGGAAGAT